TAGAAAAATAGGGCATAATGATCATTTAATGTTTTAAAACTTGAGTGTTTTTTGCATTGTTTTTTGCACAGTGTTGTCAAATCTGTTCACTAGTTTCAGGTGCAGTTTTGACTTTATAAGTCTTTTTTTTTTTTCAGCTTTTCTTTCCAGATTTAATTTTCTTGAAAACGCTGCAGGAGCGAAGCTGTTTCCCGCTCACGTTGCAGCTCAACGTGACTCTGAGATGCAGGCGAAGTGCCAAAATAAARCGTGATGCCAAAGCAGCGCACGAGAATGTGTGTCACATTGGAGGRAGGAGGAGGAAGTGGCGGCCGCTGCCAAAATATTTGACCTACTTCTTCTTCTGGGCGACTGGACTGAAAGCTGGAGAAGCGCGTTTTTACATCACTCTAACAAGGTAAGAAACTACGTATTAACGTTTTTATGCTTTTAAGTTAAAACCTAATTATATAGAGTAATTATTACTTGTCGTTTGATTTGTTTTTGAGCACTTTTTCGCCACTTTTATTTGTTTTTGCGCACTTTCGTCGCAGCATTAAAAACAGCTCGTGTTGCATTCAAAAGCGGTCGGAATTATTGCGACTTAAACGCTGTTTACCTCCGGACAGCGGTTGTTTTGATGGAAACCACGTGACCGAGTCCTCCGCGTTCGGACGTCCCCGCTTGTCTTCAAAACAAACGAGTCGTGAACAGTGAGGAAACATTGACCCAGTTTACAATCAGGGGATTGACGCGTTTCGATCCGAAGATTTGGATGAAAACTTGATTTATTCGTTTTTTCGAACGAAGCCCTCAAACTCAGCACGCGGATGGTGAGTGAAACTTTAGCTGACTTTTTAGCCGATATTTCGACTATTTTTTTTCGCTTTAAAATGACTTTAAAAGAATAACTGGTGGTTGTTGTTGTCAGTGAGTTTTGCGAAGTATTTGCGTGTTAAAAACAAAACAAAAACAAGTGTTGACAGAAAGCGGGCGGTTTCTGTGCCGCATCTGATTGACCCACATTCTAACTGCGTCACTTTCACTGTTCGGGCGGTTCGACCCGCCTGCAGCCATTCTGCGGGGATGTTGTTGTTTTTTCCCTTTTAATGGGACGTGTTTTGTGTGTTTGTCCTGTAAACTGGATTTCACAGTGGAAACACAAGTGACCCACATACAGAATCCAGTTTCACTGCGAAACAACTTTCACTGCCAGAAATAGGAAAGAAAAAAAGCGCTAAAACTAAGAAAATGCGCCTTAAAACCAATTTCAGTGCACGTTTTCCACGCTTTGCACGAGCTGACGTTTGTTTCTAGTGACAAAGTGCACTTTTATTGTTCTGTACATTTTGTACTTTCTGCGTCGGGGCTCKGAATCTCCGCCTTTAGGACCCCCAGGGGTCTCTTATTTCTGTCTTCAGGCTGAAATTCAGGTTAAATATAGAAAAAGAGAAGAAAATAAGGTTTGTAGGCGTTTGAGGAAGTCTGTTTAGTGSTTATGTGTTCAACTTGCCCCAGAAAAACAAGTGGGCGGCACTGATCCCTGTGCAGAGGACACATGGTTCTCAGTGGGTGTTTTTTATTGAAAACATGACAAAATAAATTATTTTTCTTCTGTGTGATAGTTAGCATAGCAGAAGTCAGAATTAACATTTAAAATCCAAAGCAGAGTGAATTAAAATGATTAAAACAGCAATAAATGTAAGGTTTTAGTTAAAGAAATGCACATATACTGAGGTCTTTTTAACCCAAGGGAAGCAGGAGGGTTTTAAAGTTGTTTTTATGTCTAAATGTTACGCAATCTACTACCGCACCAAATTTCAGCTCATCTATAAAGTAGGCTAAGCTTTAGGAAAGAAGCTACAACATCCTTTTTGAATTGGGTGAAATTTGGAACGGCTAATTTATCTCAGATTCAGAAATGATAAGAATTATTTCCATCCGCGAGCTGAAAACTCAAACTCCATCTTGAAATATAGCATCGTTCCTGTAATGAACCGTGGTAAACGGGGAATGCGGGGAACAGATTTCCTAAATAGGTTTTTCTGCACTCGTGACCTTTCATGTGGACCTTTGACCGTTCAGCACCGGAGCAGGTTGTCGGTCCTTTCAGCCACATGTGGTTCAGCACATTTAAAGGTGTCCAGATACCTTCACACACCTGATCTCACGCTGACTTTGTCCTCCCAACAGTGACACGGCGATGGCCTCTAMATCAGCGGCGACATGTGGGCCGGCGGCGCCCGCCTCCGAGCTCTCACGCCTGGAAGCCATCGAGTCCCTGAAGACCAAAGCGGGCCCGGTGCGGCGGAACCTCTTCGGGCCCGTGGACCACCAGCGGCTGCAGCGGGACTTCCAGCGGCTGCTTTGCGTGAACGTAGAGGAGGCCAACAAGCGCTGGAACTTCGACTTCCGGCGGGACCGGCCGGGGGAAGGCGCCGGCGTCCAGTGGGTGGAGCTCCGGTGCCAGGACGTGCCGGCGTTCTACCGGAGCCGCTCGGTGCGACCGGCAGTTCGGTCCAAGAGGCGGACGTCGACGTCGTCGGATGAAGGTTCTCCCGTTTCCAGCAGCTCGTCCGGGTCTGGAGATGAGTACCTGGAAGTGATCACAAAGGGGTGCTATTCCATCCAGAGGCCGCAGAAACGAAAGCAGTCTGCCATAACAGGTGAGCTTAACGACTAATTAGTAGGGTTGGGTATCTTTGACATTTGAATCGATTCGGTACCAATATCCGGTACCTGGGAAATGGCCTGCCATCAGGAAGCTCGGCTTAAAGACACGTCCCAGGGGCGTTTCTGGTCCCCACCTGTCGTTTTGCTCCTCAGCATGGCTTCTTAAAAACACTGCAGGATTTCTCAAACATGCATGAATGTGTCAAAGCAAGGCTTTGGGCATGTTTTTTAAGAGAGTGTAACATTATAACATAATATAAAACTCAAAAAAGTTGATTTTACATGATATTGCCCCTTTAACGGTACCAATTTTCGGTACTTTGTGTGTTTTTTTTAAATAAACTTGTTTTTTAACATATTCCTTAATATATAAAATTTAAGAAATATAAAGACAACATCCAATTCTTTGTATTGTCACATCACTTTAACAAATGTTTTGAAGTGAAAACTCTTGAAAACAACTAATGCAGTGTTTTCTTGGAGGTCCAGCAATCCAGTTTAAAGAGTAACTTACCCCAGAATTAACTTTTTTTTAGCTGATAAAGTGTCTAGAATGTGTCTAAAATGTTATATAGTACTGTTTCTGTGCTAATTTTGATGTTTTTGTGCGTATTTGTTCAAATCTGTAATATTTGGTCTAAAAACGTCTTTTTGCTGCTCATATGGGTAGAGCAGTGGTACTGCAGGCTAATTTGCATATTGGTTAACGGCTCTCCACGGTGACGAAACCGTGGAGAACCACGTCACAGTGGAGAGCCGTTAATTTAGCCTGCAGTACCACTGCTCTACCCATATGAGCAGCAAAAAGACGTTTTTAGACCAAATATTACAGATTTGAAAAAAAATACGCACAAAAACATCAAAATTAGCACAGAAACAGTACTATATAACATTTTAGACACATTCTAGACAGTTTATCAGCTAAAAATAGTTAATTTTGTGGTAAGTTACTCTTTAATGAATTCTGTTAGTGCACGTGCTGTTTCATGTGTTTTTAACTGCTTTGGTTCTTGATGGAAACAAACTGAGCTGCTCTGCAGGAAACATTTCAGACAGAAAGTTTGACTTCAATCAAACCAGGTTTGATAAAAACAGGATTTTAGATTTTGAACTAATTTGTGTAAAATTTGAGTGT